TATTGCTCACCGTAATCTTAAAAATCATGGCTTTGACAAAGTTTTTGCAGATTTTGATAAAAGTTGATAAAATTTATGTTCAAGAAGTTGATAAAAATTTGTGAATTTCATAAAATGTGTGGTTAGAAATTAAAATTTTCATTTAATTTTCCTTGTACAGCCAATTAATGGTTATTAATTTCAAGACTCATTTGATTCTCATTATTGTAGAATGAGAATGAAAAATATAATTGTTATTGGGCCTTACACAAAAGATAGAAATTCAAAATTGATGGTTTGATGTGATGGATAATAGTCATATTTTTCATTTTTATGAATGAAAAATGAGAAACAAACGGGGGCTCAGTTTCAATTTTAATGAGGACACGTTTGAACTATGGACAATGCTTGACACTCCCCTTACATGGTGTGGGGGCCCGTGCCGTCCCCCACGTGGGCCCCACTCTCCATGTGTGGGACAGTGTCAAAATGAATGTATACCAATGAATGTACATTCATCATTATCCTTGAACTATTAACATGTTAAAACTGTACAAATAAAATTATGAAAAATAAGACTTAAATATCGGGATTTTTTTAAAACTATAATAAAACTAAGATAAATAAATGTGATGTAACATATTTGCGTTATCCATTGGGTTCAGGTCTGGTAATAGGCACGGAGGGTGGCTACGATGATGTGATGTGATGGTGTTATTATCTGATTTCCTTGAATTTTTGGTTGGTTTTTCATTTGCAGGTCTGTCTATATGTGTGTGGCAGCGGCAGAGATGACGATGAAGAGAAGAGTTGATTTAACCAACCTAAGAAGTGCGAGTAAAACCAGACTCTGGAAAATCATTGTAAATTTGTAATTTCAATTTTCAATTTTGCAACACTAGGTACTTAGGTTTGGATCATTCGATAAGAAATATTGCATTTATGGTGTCCTCTGAAGCGAGTGCACAATGCTAAGATGTGTGTGGATTTCACTTCCAATAAGTAGTTATGAATAGTAGGGGTGAACATGTAATCGGAATAAAACTTCTCCAACTAGTACCGAATCAAAACTATGGTTTGATTTCAAAAAGTACAAGGAACCGAATGATTCCATTAACAAACTACGGAAGTTTAATAGGGGATTCTAATTTCTGAAATACTTAGATCGAACCATCCTATGCCCATTGGGAGTGAGTATTATAATCAAATCAAACCTCTTGAATTGACAATTTTTTTGGTTCAGTTCTATAAATTTCATGAAACCAAATGATTCAATTATAAAATGTTTAAATTTCATGAGCGGTTTCGATTCTTAAAATAATCAATCAAACCGCACTATGCTTACCGTCAATGGGAAGTGGTAGTGTCCAATTGGAACTAAGAACTTGTCTGTTTCCAATTTTTAGCAATTTTTCATAGCTTCTCAGACCATTGGAATGACCTTCAGCCGAATTCTTTGACTTTCTATCTCTATATGGGACCCATTTGATGGAAAAAAAGGTCAAAAAATCAATTTTTTT